ATGTCCGGAGAGGCAATACGGGATAACCTTTTTTATCAGAGAAAACTTGCCGGGATATTTAAAGAACCTGACAATTAACAGAGTCACCAGCAGTATCTGGGACACCTGTACAACCGAAACTCCAGAGCCACGTGCCAAAAGTTATACCGGTAACTGAGTCCACAAGTCTATCACAAGCCATCAAGTCGCAAGTCATAAATTCTTCAATTGAACTGTGAAAGAAGCATTCTTTTGACACTCTTCACCCTGGTTCTTCTGATTGGTCTATGGAGAGGATTTGACTAAATGCATGAAGACAGCAAGTGTGTGCTAAAGGAACAAACGTTAAGACCGATTCATACTTGCGTGGGAAAGCTTGTCCAAATGTGATTTTGTGATGTCAGATCAAATCCTACCACTGCCACTTTGCAAACCTTCAATCAGTAACAGCCCCCCCCATGTAAATTTATTAACCCATTTCAGTAAAGAGTCCTTCAGATGCCACTGCACCGTACAAGTGATGTGATTATGGGATACACATGCATGTAATCAATAATCAAAAGTTTAGTTTTGGGGTGTCACAATGCATTTCCACCTTTTCTGAAGAACTGCGATCCAATCTGACCTTCCAGTTTCCCAGGTACATGTACATGTAGTTGACTTCAGACGGTCCTTAAACCAACAACGCTGATTGGCTCTTCCTCCCGACAATCCCTGTCTTCCTGTTGTTCATCGTAAGCACGATTCAAGAGCACATGCCAAATAGTAGAAATCACGCAAATCTTCTCCTTATAAGGTAACAACTTGGCACATGCACACATATCAGCAAGAAGAAAACGGCCTTTGAAAAATGACACTGAAAGACGAAATCTGTCATCAACTTTCTTTAGTTCTGGCAACATTTCCTGAACTGCTACTATGTGTACATGTATGTACATGTACATGTACATGTACGTCTCCCTTTGAAGTTTTCAAGATTCAGACATCTATACAGAAGCACCATAAAACCATCCCTCTTACATGTACATGAATTTTCAAAAATACCTGCTCCCAAACTGGTCTCTGATCGGATTCCAATTCAATTCTTAGATTATGTTTCAAATGTTTCAGCCACTTCTTCACAGATTCTCCAAAGATTCTAAAATTTTTGACCATGAAATTTGGAGAGACAGCTTTCCTTTTTCCCCCACAATAGGGTATAACAAAAAAAAGATCTGATGTACACTGTACATGTTTGTATCAATAAGGGTTGTGTTAACACCAGAATATCATTAATACTGCAACTACATGTACATATAACCGTATAGGCCTACATGTACATGTACAGTATTTGTAGAATTTTGATTGAGCATGCATGAGCATATGTACATGTACATGTAGACTGGGCTTAAAAAGGAAAGATCTGGGTAAACGGTTAACATGTAAAGCATTCCTTAATGAATAGATAATTCTCAATGAGAAGTGTACTTGTACTGTTCTGTGATGGACAATTAGAGTTTGCCTGTTTGGGTAGGGCAAATGTGTTTGCTGGAAGTGGAAGTCAGGGACCTAGATTCAAAAGCAGTCAAAGTCCCGCAGGCTGAGTCTTACTACCCCAAACTGAGTGTGAGCTGTGACTCAGATGAGTCTACTTTTCAGTTTCACTGACGAGTCTGCATTTCCGACGCAGCTTCTTGGCAGCAAACACTGCTGAGCAAACATTCTGGCTCAGCAAAATCAAGCTGGGAAACAGTAAGCAAAGAAGCACTACGTGACCTTTCGGTTGATGATCCAGGCCCAGAAGGTTTTGTTGGGCAATTGACATGCTGAGGGTAGGTCAGCTGTGAGCTAGTCACAAGCAATATACATGCACATTGTGCGACTCTTGTTACTGATCCCCTTTTTCTTGCCAGTGTTTTGTACATGAATGTGCCCAGTGAGTATCTCCTGGAAAACCAGTCATAAGCCTTCTACAGCATTGCATGATTTTAGGCAGGCTACCTGTTTTCTTTAAATTGGCTGCGCACAGAGTTCCCACAGAAACCTGAAAACCAAATTCCATGACTTTATGAAGGACTAAAATTTGACAATTACTGTGACACTCAATGCCATTTTGCAGAGAAAATTTTGTTATAGACTGACAAGGATATACTAGAACGTAAGGGGTAAATTCATCATTATTCTACATGTACTATCACATTAAACATGACCCATCAAAAGTAAACCTTGCATGATCTTGATTTCCATGAATTTCCGTGACTTTTTCCAGGCTGACAACAGGATTCATGGACAGCCTTTCCTCCCACTTTTCCATGATTTTGTATGACTTTTCCATACAACTTTGTTGCAGGATTTTTCCAGAATTTCCATGACTGTTGGGACCCTGCGAGCAAGCATTTTCTTTCTGCGCTGAGCCAATTACTGTGCTAGACATCTTACAAAATTTGACCTCAGATAATCTACCTCTCAGTCATACATCTACGTATGCACTGATATGAATCCAAGCTTGCACAATTTCTCTGTGCCCATGTAGGCTGACAATTGAGCGGTTGACAGAATTGGAGCAGGGGTCACTTGGCCCCGGGGAATGACTCAGGAAATGCCCCCAAGTGGTTCGGCTCCATCACAGCCGACTGCCAATCTGCACATGCCAGTTCACATAAAAGAGGACGGGGGCGCGACTCACCCCAGGCTGCGAGAACATGAAGGGGGCTTTCTCTCGCTCCATCCATCACTCGAATGTGCACAGCAATCAATGCTGTGCAGGCATCTGTGATAATAGGCCCGTTTCCTGTCACGGCTAATTGTTGTGGAGCTACTTCATGAAACCCTACTAAACTTAGCAATTTTTCCAGCAGCCTGTCTTGAATCAAGATTTCAATATCAACCATTATACAGGAAAACATATTAACCCAAAGACATATTCTCTGTACTTGAATTTCCAACAGGCATCAGGTCCCATGTTGGCTGGGCTCTGCCTTCGTCAATCCTACATGATCCTGAAAAATCTCTGAGTGATTTTGGAGGATCTGGGTGGGGTTAGGACTAATGTTCTGGTATTAAAAGCTGCTCCTGACTTTATGTAACTACTCACATATATTATACAAGGTCCAAAATGCACAGGTACATGTACATGTATTTATTTACTGTGTTTGGGTCACCTAGCACTGTACGTTCTGGTACATGTACTTTCATCCAAACACTGGCTAAACTCACATACATGTTAAATACAAGTGATTCACGACACACTGATCATTGGCAGAACAAATCCAGCTTTTACCAAAAGTGCATTTCAGAGAAAAAGAATTACATATGCATGTACATCCATGTAATAGACACTGTCAAACATTATGCATCTCATACTAGGCGACAAGGACTTGGTAGCATTTGCTTTTTTCTTTAATTTCTAACCAACATGCATTGAGTTTGAACTTTTTGGTTAATAAGGGACATTCTCATTCAGGGCACTTCCACATGCACTTGTGGTACTGTACCGTACGTCCACCATTAAGAGACCGGTGATTAACTGCAAGACAATACAGAGGAAGTCAAGTATAGAGTTCCAAATTGCCTCTTTGTGGCAAGTGCTTCGTGGCACTCTACATGCCGAATGCGTCTGCTGTTAACTGGCAGTGGAACCCAGCACAAATTGGACAAACGTGAGCGGACTTGTTCACACGCACACCACCAGTGTTCAGGAAGAGTTCTCTCAAATTGGCTCCCGTGGGAAGGCTGTGCAGGGAACTCACTGCTTCCTGAGTGGAAGGCAAGCTGATGAACATCTGATGTTAAACACAATGGTAACCCGGAATGTGGTGCGAGATTGCAAAGCAATTCTGACACATGACAATTCAAATTTTCTTTGCACTTGAAGTCTGCCAGACACACAGTGAGGGCTCTGCTATGGGTGTGAGGGGCCATTCTCAAAGACAGGCAGAGAATGAAAACTTGTGATGCATAGAAAATCTGCTGAGCCTGAATAGGATATTATGCCCCTATAAATCTGTAGTCCTTTGGAATTCCTTTTATCATTTTTCAGTGACTGCACTTTTTTTTGTACAATGCAAGTAGGCAAACGTACCGATATCATTTCCTTATAAAGACAAATACCATAGTTCATTCCCTGCATCAACCCTCAGTTGTGTTAGCTTCAATGGTAGCAAAATACAGTACATGTTGGCCTACATGTATGTTTATTCATGTAATGCAAGTATTTGTATGCCTGTATGCTGGTGAATCCAGTGTTTAGGGCTCACCGGGCAAGCCACATCTGCTAAGCACTGCTGTTGGCTGGATGAAACTGCTTGATGGACTTAAAGTGACCTTGCACCTACTGAAGCCTCGTCGTCACATGCTGTGGATGTACATGTACATGTAGCTTTGGCCATAAATCCACACAATGCTACCAACATCTACATGCACATTTGCCAGAGAAGTTACCAAATAAATTAATACACAATGTGCATACTGTACATGTATGTATTGAATGCACCATATCAAGCACAGTTTTGACATCTCCTGCACAACCTAATGTACATGTAGATGTACTTGTGGTTGAACTGCAATGAGATTTACATGTATGATGGGCTTTTCAACAACTCTGCAGTTGTCTGCTTGATGTTCCCCCCGAACAAGTTTTTTACCACATCACGAGTGAGGATGTGCATACCTGGAACAATTTTTCTGCTACAGTTTCCCTCAAAGTACCGGTAAATTGTCATATCAGTATGCAGACAGCACGGGATCAAGGGTAAAATCATCAAATTTCCAATCTGTGTTTAAGTTGAACAGCCAGTATTTGTAGCAACTATCAATCAACGGTGGGGCCTCGGAGTGTTGCAAAAATAATGTGACTGTCTCAGAGAAAATGGTGTACAAATCTTGCACAAATTACTCGCAAGTATCGGTATTTGAGAGGTCACACTGGGTCATGAGAAATGGAACATGGTATCCAGTCCTTTATCTAAAGTTGAAAATAACACTATGGCTGAAGTCACTTTGTTGCGAAATGATACTGCCCTCGAGTGGTTACTGCCACCTACCAGTGGTTCGTTGCCCTTGACCAATCGTACGACTTTCACCGAGCTGTCCTCTTGGTACTCTGTGTCTGGTGGGCCTGGGACCTCCGGCAGCTGGGGGATGTACTCCCCGTTGGCCAGCTTGTCGTGGGAGTCAAACAGCGCCCTCATGTGGGGTTTCATCAGCAAGAAACACAGCTCTCGCACCTCGGGAATCATGGCAAAGTTCAGCATGTCATTGCACAGCTAATAGGAAACAATGAGAGAAATTGATGATTGCTGATCAATGATCAACAATTACTGATTTCTTCAGACATTCTTGGTTATGATCGTAAATGTTTATGTTCTCCACAATCCCACATTGACTGTCAAATGCTGGTTTACAGCTTACAGGACATGCGCATGTACATGACAAATTTTGAACAGATCACACAAAAGGGTCTTCAGGCCATCTCTTTAGAAGTTTTTAGTTTGCATTGAAACAAACCGGACTCCTTGTCTTTAAGACAAGGAGTCCAGTTATGTATGAGTAATAATGTATCACTCATTTTGGTATCCTGAAGAAAATTTTATGTGGGCGAAAAATGTTGAGGTTCCTTTCGATTTACACCGCAGAAGATTTTTGAAGGCCTTTAACTCTTAAGTGGCTCTGATGACTTGAAATTCATTTTGTTAGGATGGGCCATATTTTATCTTGAAGAAGGGAAAAAAATGAATTGGAGCTGGGGAAAAATGGTTTCCCCTGCATGACTACTTGTGAAATACATGTATCTCTATGCATGAATACAAGCAAGGTTAAAATAACAGACCCACTAGGAGGACAAACCGAGTAGGAACTAAAAAGGTGACTATCATTAGCCAATGAACACAAGTGCAGGTGGATAATTGGAACATACATGATCACCTGATCATTCATCACCTGATGAAAATGAACACACAGACCCAAGCAATTTGGAGGTCAATTTTTTTCTCTGAACTGTATGTGTACTTGAAAACCAAATAAATTACAATTACTGATGAAGAATATTGGTAAATTGAACAAGCACTGAATGTTGTACAAGTGAATGCCAGTTATGCCTGGTTTCCATATGTAACACATTGGTTTGTAACACAGACGGTCCGCAAGACGTGAAGACGCAGACACAGACGGTGCATGAAGTAATTTCACCAAAAATTGAAACAAAGTGGCATCTGAAACTCCATCATTTTTTGCGGAAATACCCTTTTAGATTGACTGCATCACCTCATGATGCCAAACCTGTACTCCAGTTTCATGCATTTCATTGATGGTCAGCCGTTTAGCTGATCATAAGGGTGTAATATTTAAGCATTAAGGAGAAAATGGGCACAAATTTGTGGAACTAACTAAGAGGGACGTAATTGCACGCCGGCCATACCAGCATGCATGTTTGTATTGGGATACTGTGGCTACTCGACGCAGACAGGCGGCAAAGTTGAACCTGGCTCAACTCAACTTTGCGGATCATTCACAGGCTGGTTTGCTTTTGTCTAAGTTGTTGGTGATACCTCTGTTTGGCATTGTTCCCTTCATGTACCAGTACAGGTATGCCCGCATTGCAGTTTGCGTCTTGATTGTGTTGCTCTCTGTGTTTTCGATACAGAAACCAGGCTTTACATGTATATGTACTTACAGCAGTCATGGCAGCTGTGGAGTTTAACGTCACAGGGTTGCACTGGTTTTCCCCATAGATTTTCACTGCATTGTGTGCCTGAAAAAAAAAGGTATGCAGCCATCTTTAGTATAAAGAAAACCTTAAGTGCGCCATGTACATCACTCTTCAATTCTTGACAATTGTTGTCATTTATTAAGTTCTTCTTGTAAAAGTTATTTCTTTTTGTATATAGTGTTCTGATTTTTTTAAAGTGAACAGGGCCCTCGAGTCATTAACACAATTCCCCCAAGTTCAGAAGAACCTTTTTTCTCAAAAGTTGTGTTTATGATCTTCTTCAAGTGTTCAATGGAGTGTTTGCAAAGTAAGCCATCTTGGAGGGCATTTCTTTTGTGCATGAAAAATCAGTGACAATGAAAGTACAAAGTGTCTACTCATGCACACCATGCGCATCGTGAATGCACTCTATGTGGTGGCATTACCACCCTATTCTGTCTGCACAAGCAGGTTTTTGGTTTTATTCTCTTATTTTCAATGACCTACAGTGTAATACCTCAGACGGTTATTCAAACCAGAAACACTTGTGACCCATCAGAAAGAGTCTGCTCATACTAACAACTTTCAAGGTTTTTCCCCTAAAATTGCAGCCTTAGCCACGAAGCGAACTCTGCACTTCCTACGCAGAGCCATTTTTAAAAAAATACTTCCGGAGCCGCGCTTGTAGTATGGTGAGGCAGCACACCTGACTAATTCTGCGTACTGTCTTTTAGCACGCCCGGGTCAGCTTGGGAATTAACTGGAAATGAGCTGGAGTTGGCCAAGGTGCGTCAGTGACAAAGCAGTTTTTCTCTCAGACCACCCGCACACCCTCTACTAGTTACCCCTTCCTGTTCAAATTCACTCCCTTAAAAAAAAAAATAGCCAAATCACGGCAGTATTATCCAACCAATTTGTAATATTTCTTAGCCTGCCAATAACCCCGCTTCCTGTGATGGTAATGCAATCTTTTCCCATCTCTATTGTATTAAACGCAATGACATTTTACCTTCTGGGTGGATTATGGTGGCCCGCAGCCATAATACTGGCCGCAATTTCACCCTAAATAGTTAATTGGGCACTTAAAAAGGTTTTAAGTGTATGGCGTGAAACATGTACACTGGATTTTGTGCATTTATATTTTTAATGGAATTGACATATACATATATTGTGTATAAATCTAATGGAATTCTTAAACATGAACAAATATGACAAATCTTCAGTGTTGAAACTTTTGCGAGAGTTCTTCCATGTAAATGTCATATACTGTAATGCAAATAAATTGGGTCCAGTTGTTAACATTCTACTGTTTGAAACTTACCAAACAGTATTGAGTGGGTATAAAGCAAGGGATAAGTGTAAGCGTAATACAAACTCTGTAATGCCTTTCTAGTCATGTATCAGGCTCCTTCAGGCATGCAACTTGGACAAAAAATGAGGAAATTCCAATCTTCACCTGACTTTGTACAGCGTTTTTCAATTTTCAATGGTACGAGTATGAGTGAAAAACAAGGAAATCAGCTGATCCGAGGAAAAGTGCAAGCCTGAGGTTCTTGGATCCATCCCCCCCCAAATATTTTTGTTTTCTGACTCCATTTCCAGGGTTCTCCAAATGTACAAACTTGCGTGTTGGCCTGATACACGCAATTCTTTTCCCAATCGTAGCTGATACGTAAAAAAGTGCCCGATAAACAATAAACCCTTGTGCATGCCAAACAATGGCTACATGCGTTGCTGGCATGCACCGCGATTTATCCATTACCAACACAGAACGAGGGTTCCCCTCATTTTCTCTGTTTTCTGAGAATGATGCAATCTGCGTTCAGAATTTGCATCTTGGCATGAACAGAAACAAACCTTTTTAAGCTTGTTATAGTTGAGCTCTGAAGACAAATGACACTTCGCTTGATTAGGATGCTTCAATATTTATTTGAACAGATAAAATCAGAGAAAACACGTTTTTGTTAGAGGTGCCCTTTAAAATGTTTTTCCCTCAATTCTGTACTACGAACATGTTTATAAATTGTGTCATTTCTCCATCACTCGTGACAAGCACAGGAAATACCCTAAAATGCACAAGACGGCATCAAAAGTTAAAAAGTTTAAGGGGTTCTTAAGCTGGCCCTGAACCCCAGGCCATGGCTCCGCAATTTGTCAGAGGACAAAGATAGAAATCCCCCCCCCACTTTTGAAAAATCCTGGGGAGACCCCTGATTCCTGTACGTTGACTTACGTTGAATAGAGCGTGAAATTCTGGACTGGCCAGCACATTCTGCAGGAACATGAGGTCATCTTGCCGCCCGCAGAACCCGTCTCCTAGTTCCGTCAGGGAACCCAATAATCTAAGCAGTGCTAAAAGGAACCAACAGACAAATGAAATCACTGTAAACCCCGTTTCACTGACACAAACATTAACATTGGGTGCCATCCTAGAGGTCGGTGAACCCATTTATTCCTGGGTGGAAAGTGACTTGCCCAAGGTCATAACATGTAACCAACTAACAGGATTCGAAACCTCCCCCCCGACCCCATGATCAGAAGCTACAGACCCTAACTTGGCCACTTGTCTCCCAGAATAAAACCAAAACAAATGGAACCGGACAGCCAGGATATATCTGGTACCCCACTTCCTTTCATAGCTGTCATTCATTCATTCATAGCTCTGACTTGGCACCTGTCTTGGTATCTTACAGCATAACCTACGTTGTGTTTCTGTCATCCCTTGATCCGGGTGGATCTGGCTTAATCCAGAGGTGACCCACACCCAATTACAACTCCATGTACTCTAACCAGAGAAATGTCACTGGCGGATATTACCTTAAGTAGAACCGTCAAAGAAAAGGTTCGAAACCCAGATTCCTGGGCAAAATCAGAATACGAGTCAAAAGCAGAAAATGACCCCAAAAAATATACCGGTATGTATACGTACCGGTACATATACATGTACCTTGCCAAAGAAACTGTAGCGGCATCTTCAATGGGTCTAATTAGCACAAAACCCCAAAAACTGTTTTTAACTGACATTTTCCATAAGAACATGACACAAAATACATTTATAAATTCTGCACCACTCATTTTTCAGAGACTGTTGTGAGGAAAGAGAAACTAAAGGAACAGATTTGCACATTAAAACTTTAAAAAAACTGTTTAAATTTTCAATCCAAATTCTTGAATTTCCCCCAAAACAAATTCGAACTTTTAGTTTTAATGAGATCTTCAATTTTTATCCATTTAAAATGTAGATGGAATTTCAGGCTATTCATGGTGAAAGACAGCAATAGGTGGAAAGGCTTGCGGTAGCACCATGTGAAGGAATATATCTCTTATGAGTATGTGTGGTTCTGAAAAGAACCGGGAGTATATTCAGTCTCCTGACGACGGACTGAGCACGTAGTCCGAAACGTTGAGTATACTCCCGGATCTTTTCAGAACCACACATACTCATAAGAGATGTACTCCTTTGCATGGTGCTACCGCGAGCCTTTCCACCCATTTAAATGTATAAACTTAAGTTTTATACGGATATATTTTATGCCTTTACTAAAAAGATGTCTTTTCATTGATTACAGTGCTCAAAGACCAAGACGAATGGTTTTGAGTTTCTTAAAGGAAGTACATATCAGCTGCACCAAAACCAATCAAGGCAACATACAGTATTCTAATGACAATTTTTCTCTAAGGTCTTTTTTTTTTTTTTACAATTATTTCTTGTTTGGCAAATGTCATAAGCAACATGAAGTGGCTCTAGATATCTCCTGCTTTTTCTTCCAAGTTCATTTCGATCATGAATATAACTACCGTTACAAAGATTCTGAACAACACAACGGCATCTGACATTTCCCTGCCAAGTACGTGTACACGTAGAATAAATCGTTCAAATAGAAGTGCTTATTATTCTGAGTTGATGAGGAGCTCCACTCATGATTCAGAATTTTTCAATACTTTTACATCATTGCGTATCAACTTGTTATTCATAATGGGTGGTTTGTTAAAAAACTGTATACACTTCAGCTGTGCAGGTTACATATTCCGCTACAAGTACACCAATCTCTCACACATACAGTATGTTTGTAACTTTGTCAGAACGGTGAAATATTTCTATATGTCTTAACAGTGCAACTGGACTTCATTTAACTTACCAGGATCATTGGAATTCATGTTGTTGGCTGGAACTGGCATGTTGTCGTTTCTCATTGAAAGACACTATCACAAGGCTAATGGAAAAGGAAAAAAAAACAGACAATGAAAAATACAGGAAGATTGAAAGGATTAAGATATGAAAACTATTCACTTATGAATGCGTACGTATTTGGAACACTGCCATTTTTACAAGGCAAACAAAGAGAATTGACGACGCACTTAACTTAGCCTTTACTCTTGGCAAATACTTGTATACAACACTGGTACCAGTAGCTTGAAATCTTTCTGGTCCCATCAAAATATTCCACTGCTCAGAAATCAAATGGCACCTTTTCCTACATACGTGTACAATATACACTGTACAGCAGTAGCGGTTGGGCTGAACGGTCATGTATCCATTAAAATCAAACAGCGCCTTTTTGTAGACTTGGCTGGATGAGGAAAATTGAAATCCTACTAAAGCAAAGCAGCAACTGCACGTACTGCACAATGTATTCATGAGTAAAACATGATCAATCCTCTATGAAGTAAAACAAGACAAAACCTGCAAGTACATGTTCCTGTACACTGGAGCCAGTGCATCTTCACGTACATGCACACTGTACATGTACAGAGTGCATTGTACTGTACGTGTAAAATGTACAATCCTACTGAGTAAGCAACATCATGACAACCACTTACACAGATTTCCTACAATACAGTGCATCTGCACATGGAAGACGACTGTACAGCATACATCCAAGTCCTCACTATTCAAATTAGAGTCTATGTTCTAAGTGTACACTAACACATACAATACTGGCATTCAATGTATGCAAGACCAGAGAAATGGAAAGAAATAAAAGCACACTGTACCGGTACTAAGTAATACACAAACTTACTTCAAAGGAGCAGTTACATGTACATGTATTTCGTTCTACACTCCTTCAGCACCAGTACATCCAAAAATAAGAAAAGTATGCAAAACTCTCTTTACTCCCAAAGCCCAAATGAGTAAGCTCCCGTCTCCCCAATGTATTTATACACCTAATTTCTATCTTCATGGCTGTATTACCATTCCAGGGTCTCATTTGTTAAAAAAAAAAGAAGTTATCATCAGCCAATCCTCGGTCAGGGGGTCACATGCTACCCTCCATCAGTTCCCCCCTTGGCCATTAGGCATGTTTCCTGAAACAACAGTGAGAAAGGAATTAGCCCTAATCCCCTCCAATCATACAAGTCAGTCAGCGGTGATGCATGGAAGGGCCAGATAACATCAGCCGTGCGAGGCGTCAGGCCGATCCCCTGGGTCTCCCCGTCTCTCGTTCCGAGGAAAAGAGGGGAAGAGAGACGGGGACGGAGGGAGAGGGGGGGGTTCAAAGACTCGGCCAATGTTACAAATTAGGCTCTCGTCACTTGACAAATTTTCTTCGATGAGATAATATGTCGGACATTGGAGACTTGGACATGGAGAAAGCGCAAGCCTCTGTACGCAAGCAGATGAAGAACATGATGAAGACCAGGGAGGATTTACCGCTAGTTCCATCCTGTTAGCTTGCTTCATTTGTATCTCAGGCAAACATTTGGGCACCAATTTCCCAGCCGTACAAGACTTCGCAAGGTTTTTTTCAATTTTTAAAAGGATCGCATGGAACGTAAAAACAAGGAAATCATCTTATCTGAGGAAAACTGGCATTCCTGATAAGCATTCCTGATAACTTTATTTTTTCCAAATATTAATAAACGTGACCATCTACAAACAAGATTCTAAAATGAGGCTTTTCCTTAGCTGCTCTTTGATCCAAACATACACGTACATGTATGACCAAAAGGCTTCAAAATTGGCTGATCTTTGCCTTGAAAAAAAAATTAAGCACCTATGTACTCAAATGCTCAGTAACATATACGTGTACGTGCTCCATTATATAATGTACACTGTATTGGGGCTACATACATGTACATGTACACACACATTAATACTTACATGTATCTCTAAATGTTTGTTTACCATAAGGGAATATTTTGAAAATGCTGACAAACATCACGAAGTTTGTGAATATTTGAAAAATTAACAAACCGTTTTGACCACTTTCTTCAATGTTAGCAATATTGAATCTCATTTCACAATCCACTAAATTTCTGCAAACAAAACAACTTACAATACCTACGTGTACTGTAGGTGTTATTTGCCTATCATGAAAAGAAGCTTTAATTTGAAAATTGAAAAATGACACTATTCAGGTCAAAAGTACGACTAGTACATCTGTGGGTTATGATAAAACAATTAAACAGATGTTCCACTGCAGGCTTTGCGAGACGGTGTTAGGGCGAGAGGGTGTTAGGGCGTGAGTAACGCAACGTACGGTTCATCTCTGTTAATACTGAATACAGACATCTGTCATCAGCCACGTCAACCGTGTTTTTTGCCAAGTTTGTTGGGGTTTTTTTTCTGACGCAAATTATCCATGAGTCATATCTGCAAGCCCCCACGACAAGAGGGAATTCTTTGAAAAGGGCCAGATTTTGACAGATCTGAGTCTGACGGGATTGCATGAATCACACATATCAAAGAAAGTTTCCATTGTGCAGACAACTAAATCTAATTTACAGGAGGAAATCCATCTTAAATGAGCCGATTCCATTAATCCTTTGAACCATGAAAGAAAGAAAAAACAAAAGCCAAACGAGGATTTCCCTTGCTAGCTCCCTTCAATTCCTGAGCCCTTTGACTTACCAGTAAATCATTCACTTTTACCCACTGAACTCTTTGGGAGCATTCAAGCATTCGAAACTGTCCTAAGCGGTGACCACTCAATTTGTCATCCCCGAGCCTACATTTACTTGTCAGATTCATTTACCCCAAAGAAAATACTCAATTTGGACCGACTGGGGTGGATGCGTGAAGGTGAAGATTGTGGGCATTGGACACTGCTGATAAATTTTGATCGAGTGCCCTTGGGCACACCTGAACGTGCGCATGTTAAAGGAACAGTGACAAGATTTGCTTTTCAGCTTTTTATCCTGCATCAAAGAGAGAGTTCCTGTAAAACTGCCACCAGCCAGCCCCACAACTGTGGTATTCTGATGGACACAGTAGTGGTATCTGCAGCCCAGCCGATTTGAAGTACTGAAAGATTGCCACTGGTTTTAATATTGCACAGTACCGGTATTTTGGTACATGTAGTTTTCTATTTATACATATGTACTGGGAGGGGGGTTACTTCCTAAAGACAAGGAGACACCATTACTGCGAGGGCACCGTGTTCCTTTAATTTGCACTTTGACAAAGGGAGTTATGTTCAAAGCCTAAAAACTCAGTCCACTACCTGGACTGTTTACGAGCTGTGTTCCTGATTGGCCTGCATGTGGCAACAATGCACCAATACGGGACATGCCTGTATCCACTGATAGAAGGCATTCACATAGAGAATCCAGATCCTGAACACAGTCTAGTCCATTTGCTCAAGTACCCCAAAAAATGTTGAGAAAACTTTGTTCCACTCACACACTGCCGGGTCTGGGCCGTGTGGTTCACACACGTGTAGCACTGCCACCACGGGTGTATCGCGCGTACGAGAGCACTTCCACACACTGACATGTGCTCACAGTGGTGCCAAGCGTATTATCCATGTTCAGCTACCGGTAATTAACCCTTGACGTTCAGCGTCCACAAGAGCACTTGTTCTGGACCTCACATTTGTTGGAGTCTTGAGATGGGCTACACATAATGCAAGTGTACACGTGGGCGGGGGACACACAATAAAAAGCGGCCAGAATCTGGACTAGCCCCAAATAAGAGATGGAACCACAGTCAAGGATTCAGATATGGCTACAGCTAACGGTAAATGGCGGGAGGTTGCATAGGGGTCATGGATGAGGAGTGTGTTTCAGTTAGGATCGCGGTTACATGCAAGCTGAGGGATTCGCGGGTCTGGCTTTGGAAGATGGTGATCATGAAGTAGACATCTGGCACTGGTGGTAGTAACAAATAATCAGCACCAGACTGCAATCAAGTTAAACAACTGCAAGTGGTTGATCCATACATGTGGTTAAACCTTCTCACTCTCTGGGATCTGATGCATCAAACTCTTCCCTGCTGGCACCTCCACCCAAAGTCGATGCAAAATTTCAACACAAAGGCAAACTGCACCACAGTACATGATTTACTTTACCATGGAGAACAGAGGAAAGGAAACAAAGGATGTGTCCCCTGACTGTCCTAAATGATCAGTCTTTTGTAATTGGTAGAATGTGCTATACATGTACCTGTGTTACATCTACATGTACACGCATATGATACAATGTAGATGTACATGTACATGCAGGCCTCTCAAATGACATGACTTCCTACAGATTGCAATGTGCATTGGCATTTTAGGCTTCACATTTTCGTGACGCGCGTTGGCTGTTCTGAAAAAGGTAATGTATTTCGGAGACATTTGGGTCAATGCTGTAGTTGAGACCATCACAAGATGCCAGAAGACCATCACAAGACCACCACAAGATGCCAGAAGACCATCACAAGACCATCACAAGACCAACGTGCCTGAATTCGAGTCACAAGCTATTCAAAGTAACTCCCACAAAAGCATTCCCTCAGTCATTGTTCACTCTCTTACTTGTGTCTGGTCTTGAGAAAGGTCTTGTGATGGTCTTGACTACAACACTGACAAAGATCAATACACGCCAGTGTACGGAACATTTGCACACAAGTGTTGTTCATGTAGTTATACATTGTAATTTTCTTACAAAGATGATGTCCTATGAGAGATATCCATTACAGAGTAGGAAGCATGTACCGGTACCTTGTCCCTCGTGGCATAGCAAAAACAGCTCAATGTTTTTGACTCCTTGTAAAAAAAAACACAACAAACAAACAAACCACCCCAACAAACAATCAAACCCCCCCAACACCCAAACAAACAAACAAACAAACAAACAACCCAAAAAACTAACAAACAACCCAACACCCCAACCAAACTACCAATACAAACCGGTGATTACATATGTACTGGGGTACATGTTTGCCAAGCAGATTGGTTTTGTACAACTGCTGGTACACTAGACCGACAGTCCGATCATTGCCGACTCCTCACAGTCCAAGCAGCAGAACTTTCATGCATGTACGTGTACTGGAATGTGTACCTCAAAGATTTTGTCCTAACTCACTCCGGACACTCAATGATCACTACTTGTAATTAGCAAATGCAACACCCTTCCGTTAACTGTGAACTTACATCTTACATGCACGCAGGTGGTAGCACACACACAAGCAATCAACGATACACCTGAGACACAAAAGGCTCCTACAGACGCCACACATTTATTTCCTTTCCTCCGGTGGTAAGTGGACTACAGGCCCCCTGGCTCTGTATGAGTGTGCACGTTTTAAACAAAGTGTGATGTCACCAACATATCGTACATGTACGTGTAGAACTGTTCATTTATTTGGAACCAAACTATTTCGAGAAGAAAACTCTTTCCTCCTGCCCCATCACTCACCATGGCCATTCTTTCCGTCATTAGCCCTTCACATGATATTTCAATGTGCAAACAGAGACTGGAGGGATACTGGACTTGTGGGTTAGACGCATCAAAGGTCAAGCAAAACATTCCCCTAAAACAACCAATCCTGGCCAGGCACCTCATTCTGGGGGTGCAAGATGAATTTTTTTCTTTTGATATTAAAGGGAAATGCTGGTATACATGTACATGCAAAACCTGCCATCTAAAAAGGAGACAAGTATTTCAAAGTACAACCTGTACATGTAATTACGACAGACAAGGGGAACGTGTCCAGCACACTGTGCAGTACATGTACATGTACGTCAAGGTACATGTAATGTTTGCGTTTAATTCCAGGGCTGGATGTACATGTATCTGTTCCCTCACATGCAAGCATTTATGATACAACATGGCAACATGAACTCTACAGAGCACCAGGCACATTTCACCTACACATGCACATGACTGTGAAAATATACGAAAGTGAGTTTAGGAACTGAATCTACTGCGCATACAGATACACGTATACATGTACATGTACATACCCCCCGTACGTGTACTCTTCGTCACCTCAAATATCAAACAAAGTACAGGAATACTGGTCCAGGACCCAATGGCGAAGCACCGATGGTTTGACAGCTTTTCAGACATGGCAAAAATTCTTATAAAATATACATCCAGATTTGAGTTACGTCAGATGTGAAAATCTCGCGTACTGGTACTGTACATGTTTAAGGCAGTGTTTTGACTTCAAATGTGAAAAAGTTTCTAAGCTTGTTAAATTAAAGGGGATTAAATAAGAGTCACACAATTTTTAGGAAAGTACCTGAACTTCAAAGTGGTCTTGAAAGGTCTTAGTGAAAAATTTATGGTTTAAAAGTAAATGTTAATATTAAGTCGAACGTTTACTTAAAATCGATTGACTCATTCTGTCTCTGAAAACTTTAAAAAGTTAATATGAAGAACTGAGGTCTTAAAAGGTCCGAACTACATGTATGACACTGCCAAGAATGGGCTGCTCTATTTGTGCATCATTTGTATGGCTCTAATGTCTGTTGCCTAATGAAACAGCAATGCCGAGTTGTTGTCAAAATCTAAATGATACCTTGAGAGAAACAAGTTTTGTCAAAATAACTGATAAGATGATTTTTGCTTCCTACAGCTGTCATATTTCTTGGGAAGACTGTCGTGAGTTTGCATTCTGGAGCGTGTAATTCAATTGAGCAATTCGGTGTGCAGTAAAAGAAGTCGTCCTCCAACTGGCAGGCATGTGACAGTAATCCATCGCTGGACGTTCATTAAACGTAATCAGGAAGACTCTGGGGACTTGTCTAATTAAGACATCCCTCGGACGGGGAGGGGGAGGAGTTGGCTGTCCTGTTATCTGGCAATAATAATATACCGTGACAAGGATTGCTGGGAGT